CCCTCCTCCGTCACGGCGATAACTTCACACTGAGGTTTCCGCTAAGCTAACAGAGATTTTATCGGCTACTCAGGGGGGAAAAAACCCAAATGGCTGTTTGCTGCATGCAACGATATAAATAAGCGATTCTTCAGTTTCAGTTACTCTCTTGGGAGTTTCGAATAGTCTGGGAACTGGCAACAAGCTTGCACTCTGACTTCCAAGAATTTAGCTGCATTAACCCAACGTAAGTGTTTCAGCAAAACTACAATTTGTCGATACATTAAATCAAAAGAGCTTGGACAAGCGACTGGAATTATGGGATAAATCTTCTCAGTATGTACCCGAAGAAATAAATATATCAAATTTAATCTGTTTCTTCGCTTTTTTTGTTTAAATACATTTTGAGATTTATAGACTTATTCATTCGGTTAATATGATTTCCCGTACTGATTTTATTTAAATCATTTTAAAACAATATATTTTTTTCTATCTGTAGTAAGTATTCTATCCATTTCCTAAAATGCACTAAAATTAAGATAAATGACACAGAAAATGTATGAAACAGTATTCGAAAGGATAACATAACAATGTTCATATAATCCAATTACGGGGCTCCTGATATAGAACTGGAAGTCAACCGTATAATGGTAAATTCTGTAAAAAGGAAATTGTGCATCATAAAAGAAATGAATTGATCTGTGTGTCCTGACTCAAAGAAGGATTTAACTGTTAATGAAAATTTATGGTTAGTTGTATTAGAATCTTCGGTACAATCATGATTTGAGAGACAGTACAAAATCCTTTCGTTTTCTTACATGATCGCTGTTTAAAGATACTACACTACTTCCCCATAAAAAAACCAGAGATCCTCAGCAAAGAAATGAAATTAATAGCATTGATTTTATTGCAGGGTTTCTCGTCTGATGGCTTCATCTAAAGCTTTACGTTCCTCGTGGAAAGCTATAAGTTACAGTGGTAATCATTATTTCTTCAATAATGAATTTTTGTTGCAGAGAAACAAAATGAATATAAAATACAATTAAAATCGCAAAACTGTTATTTGTGTACCGATTCAATCGTTATAAAAGTTGAGAAAACGTATCACAGCGATTTTACAGATGTTCCAAAATGTTTCTTTACAGACAAATTAATACTGAAATGCAAATATATATTGTGTAATATTAGCACTTGTTCATTCACAGACATAATGTGTTTCAGTGCTACTTTATTCTTCAAGTTGTTGAAATATTATCAGGTCCACAACAAAAGAAACCAGAATTCATACCTTAGAGCATTAGTTTGTTATGAATTTTGCGCAAAGCTACACGAGGGCTATCTGCGCTAGTCGTCTCTAATTTAGCAGTGTAAGACTAGATGTAAGGCAACTAGTCATCACCACCCACCGCCAACTCTTGGGCTACTCTTTTACCAACGAATAGTGGGATTGCCCGTCACATTATAACGCCCCCACGGCTGAAAGGGCGAGCATGTTTGGTGTGACGGCGATTCGAACCCGCGACCCGCAGATTACGAGTCGAGCGCCCTAACCATCTGGCCATGCCGGGTATACCTTGGAGCGATTGAAATACTAAAATGCAAAGAGGAAAAAAAGGACGAAGTGACAGTTAACGCAATTTCACTGAAGAACAGATATGTTTTATGTTTCTTTTCTTTGCACACGTTATTTTATAACACACAGCATGAACAAAAGTCTTAGCAAAATACTGTTGAAGAGGGGACCCATAATAGTATCATTTTGGGATCCCTGAGGAACAACAACAACAACTGAACTGTTTTTGTAAGTCAAAACGTAAAGTGATGACCAGATTTACATCACATCTGTGGTTATTAAACTAGTTTGTTTTGAAGGACATGAACCCTCCAGCTGATATTATCATAACGGCGTTTCGTGATGATACAAAAATGTGAGGAATTTGTTTTAGTTTTAACGTTTTGCCCTGTTATTATGTTAATAAACGTGAACACTATATAATGCTTAAGATACTTTAGTTTAGAATTATATCACTCTTCGTTATCCTTAAGCTCATTCCAAGTTTTATGGCGGAAAGTACTAAGCTCTTACTTGCAGATACTGTAATAAAAACTGTGCACTTCTCGACAACTGACACAAACAACAACGGGATAAAAAAGGTGAAAAAAATCACCTACGTCGACCGACATTGTATCACGGGAACTCGTATCTAATACTTTTACTACTCACAAACTTGTGACAGAATTTATAGATACATCTGACAAGGACATTCTTTTACCTATGTTAATTTTTGTCTTTATCAAAGCAACCTATAAATTTACATTAGCACGTTTCAGCGTTGCTAGAGCCAAAGTTATCACCACAGAAATGCAACATGGACTACTACTTTTGCTATAATCTGGAGTTTCCCTACTATGAAAATACAAATTCAGGTGCTGAAACACACAAAACAAAATATAACTAATTGCAGAAGATTACAGTTTAGGTGCTGTACCACAGTTCATCTTCCCAAGCAACACTATAATAAAGTCAACCTACAGTATTATTACAAGAGTATCGTATCGTATTGATTCTTCACCGGTCACTAAGGAATTTCGCAAGGGAATTCCATGTATTAATACTTCCTGTGTCTTTATAATACTTGACGTGTCATTACCGATCGGGCATAATATAAACCAAATAAACATAAGCAGATGTTAAGTTTGAACTATGTAACAAAAAATAAATTTCTTTTTTTTAATTAAAAGCGTCGAAATAATCTCGATTTTCAAAACTTCAGTATCCAAGTGCATAAATAGGTTTGGAAAATCTTTTATATTTAGTTTATTCTCAGTATTACACAGATAAGTAGCTTGTGGAAGAACGAATTTCATGACCAACTGAACATGGATTCGAATTTACAGAACGTAAAAATTCATCCCAAATGGAGCGTCTTATCTGGATATTCGGATATTCCGCTCGAGTGAATTTTGCATGGCGGTGTAATCTTTACTTGCACGTGTATTCCACATATTTTTTGTTTAACCACCTGAGAAACCACCACCAGTGTCATTTTTCTTTACTGGAAATATATATATATATATATATGTTTGTATAAGCTAATAACAAATAAAAAGAAATTATCATCTCTTCAGTCACATCATTCGGTAATAAATAGAGATATATATAAATTAACAAGTTATACGTCTTACAACGGTACGAAATAGACATGTCCTTGCTAAGTCATATAAAATGTAAAGGTTTTATAGCATGTGTGTTACAACACATAAAATGGACATGTCCTATCTAAAGCATACAAATGCAAGTTTTATAAGCATTTAAAAAGGATATGTTTTACGGCATATAAAATGAACGTGTTTTATGGCTTATAAAAGTTTCGGAGCATATAAAATGAACATATCATAGAGCATATATAAAGTGATCATGTCTTGAGCTATATATATATTAACTTTAATTTGTTGTGGAATATAAAGAGACACTTCTAACCGGATATAATATTCACTTGTACAACGGCACGTGTCTAAACGTAGAGATTCAAAAGTTAAATTAGTTTTAGCTAACCAGAAATATTACTGTAAATTTTTTTTTATTACAACCTAAATTTCTGGTGGTTTACTCCAGCTGTAGTTTTAGTCAGAAATGTTTATTAGAATTGTATGCTTTTTTAAAAGTTGCGCCTGTACTTAAGGATTTTGTTGGTTAATAAAAGTACAGTACATATTTTTTATTCAAATCAATTCCTACTGAATGCCCCCAGTGGCACATCGGTATGTCTACGGACATACAACGCTAGAATCCGGGTTTCGATACCCGTGGTG